TATATATATATATATATATATATATACGTATATGTTGTGAGATATCGTAAATTAAGAAAAATCCGTATGATCTAAATATTATTATGTTTACAATATTAAGTTAAGAATGATTGCTGATAGCATTGCTATAATTGATGTATTTAAAAGAATAAAATAATTAATGCAAAGTAAATACAAACTAACGGATTTTTATGCAAAATATTTTAACTAACCTTGAAATTTGCTAAACTGTTCTCGAAGAAATTTCGAATAGCGTCAGTTTCTGGCTCGGAGAATGCTTTAGAACCTCGGTATGTCTCATAACACATGTTACTGCTAGTTCCCTTTCCACCCCAGCGATAACCAAAGTTTCTGTTTAAATCTACGCCCGAGCAAGAAGTGCCTTTCCTTCTATTCTTCCTCCATAAACGATCGTATTGGAAGGTATATCTGTAGCCATCTGGATTGACAACTGGCAGAATGTAATAGTCTGTTTGTAAAACATCGCTATTTTCAACCAGGTTATCAATGATATAAGTCACAGCTGCCGGTGAGATCCACTCTCTCGCGTGTATTCCACCATCAATCCATATTGCAGGTGTATTTTCCGTTTTACCATTACTAATCCTTAGAACCTTTTAATATATATAAAAATATTAAGATCTTAAACATCAATTTTTTATCAGTATCAAAATAGATTAGATTGGATACCTTGAGGGGCTGTCCTTCAATGGAATTACCGATGGATTGAACGGAGCAGACATCAGGATAAGTGTTCACGAGATAATCCAAGTAGCCATAAATGTCATTTATGTCATGGTAGCTGGTCCATTCCATACGATGACCTAATAGATATATCTTCAAGATTATTCAGAGATTGCACGTTCCGTACTTTTGTGAGCTTGTATAGCAACCGCTTCGTAGATTCAGCTCAAAGCAAGCATTTTTTCCTTTTAATTGTCATCTTACAAAATATTTTTTTCAGTACTCTTTACATTATATAAATCTGATATATTATTCTGAATCGACGAAACGGATTATGCGCATCTGAAAGCTCACCCCTAAAATGCCACGGAGCACCCCCACCATATGCACTAGCAGGATAACGAAGAGGACGAGGATGTGGAAATCTACGTCTGACTCCCTGCCACCAAGCGTAACGAGCTAAAAAATTACTGAATACTCGGTGACAGAAGCGATGCTCAACACTCATTAAATATCTCACTCATTAAATAATTATAAAAATTCCTAAATGCTCATATTTATTCCCATAACTTAATTCGCGTTTCAGGAGTTTCAGCAATTTTTCGACTTTTCCAATATTGTTTGCAAATGTAATAATTTCTTGCACGAATCGAAAACCAAACCTTGCCGAGTCCGTCTTGGATAACGGCATCGAGATGAGATCGACCGACTATGCAAACGACTACAGAAAAACGACGAAACGTCACTGAATGCCCGTACGTGCGAAGACTACGCGTTTTATACACGCCTTACAAGTAAAGTATAACTGTTAATGTTAATCAGCATTGAAGCGGAACCGGGTTACTAAGTGGGATTCACACAAGGTCAATAACCTCGATTGATTTTAAATTGTTTTTCTATGAAAATGTATAAGAATTTGAAATTATTAATTAATGTATTAACTTTTTTTTTAGAATATATATGTATTCCAATTTATGATTTTAACAATGACTCTTATATATATTTAACACATACATACATTACATCAAATGGCACAATTTTCCGATAACAATACATAAATAATAATAAAATGTATTACTAATCTTTACAGTGAATATTAGATTAACTATCCGAATTATGTTAAAATTATATAATAGACAAGAATTTTATCAAGTATGTTTATATCAACATTAGAATAGTTTTCATATACATATACAATGTTTGATTAATAGTGTTTGCTATGTTTTCTACATAATGTCCTAATTATTACAGATACTATAATAATTTAGTTTAATTGAAACATAATTGGAGGATATTTAATTAAAACAATGGAATTTTAAATTTATTTTTATAAAAATTATTTTAATTATTTAGTTAATTTAATTTTTTAGTAAATAATAAATTAAGTAAATGGAGACCATTCAAATTAATTAATTCGTTAATTCAAAATTAATAATAAGCTGTCATTTGCAATAATTTATTTTTGAATGTATTTCTGAATAAGAATTATTAATTTATTTTAATTAGCTATATGATTGATCAAATAATAACTTCTTCCATTTACATAAACAAGTGACAAACAAGTTATAAAGATCTATATATTATTGCTTCTTTTCTATTATTAATAAAATTGTCTAAAAGTAACGAAAAATAATAAGTTAAGAGTGATAACTAATTGTGAAACATAAATGATAAGCAACGATGACTTGATGCGAATTGTAAGCTCTTAATAATTATCAACCAAACACACACACACACACACACACACACACACAATAGCTTTTTCCGTAACTTTTATGAATATCACTGAAACAAGATCACTATAAAGATTGATTGCTTTTTTCATTATTAATAAGATTGTCAAAAAGTAAAGAAAAATGGTAAAGAGCAAGACTAATTGTGAAGCATATATGATAAGCTGCGATAACTTAATGTGAAGTGTAAGTACTTAATAATAATTATTAAAAGCATTTAACGATGCGTGAATATATCAATAAATGTTATTATATGTAGATATTAATAGTATTGCTATTATTACTTATCTTTGAAGAAATTTTTATTTTTCCTGCGATTATATTGTTGAATGATACAGTAATATTGATTTTATGATTAAAAAATGATAAAGTTTAATTAATGTGAGTGTAATAAAATCCCAAACCTTTGCGTCCTTCAAGTTCTGTTTGCATTGCGGTTGTAAGTCGAACATTCCCGTCATCAATCGCTTTTTGCACATCTTTGATCAGAACGTCATACTTTATTCTGCAATTATTCAATAGCAAATCGACGTTATAAAGCATTTGGTTTCGAACAAAAATATCGACTGTCAATGGATGGTTCGACCATATTTGATACGCTACATTAAAAAAAAAGATTTTGTTAGACTCCCTATTAATAGCTGTTGTCCTTCTAAAAAAACTCTTAGTAATATCATTTTTAAATACAGTAAAATATTTATATTAATATAAATTTTATTTATATTATGTACAACCGTTTTGATCGTGTTGCTCCATCAAATCATTTACTGAATCATTGTGTTTGTAGATTCGCCACACTTGATCACCGACGTAGAAAACTTTCTTACTGAAATCCTCTCTGAAATCTTCTTTAGCCGTTTTTTCATAAGCCACAGATTCGCATCTTTTAAGATTCACGGTCGCATCAACGACGAAAATAATGATTGTTATCGTTGTCAACGCCACCGATTTTATGTGATTTTGTCCACCGTGTTTCATTTTAGCTGAAACTGTTCTTAAGAGCAGAATATATCCAGCTTTTATAATACGCGACCGTTCACTGATCGGGAGTATAACGGAATTACTCGATCGAAGATGCGGAGTTTGCCGAATCCATCCGTAATAAATTCATATTGAAATAAATATTTTCGTAGAAGGACAATAAAGCTAAACTTTTTATTTTGTATATCTCATACGGTCGAACCACACATCAACTGTTGACATTTTTATATAAAACTTTTATATATTACTATACACTTATTAACATCAAATCGACATTCAAAAATTACAGGATAAAATATTATGTTTTAAGCACGTATTATGGAATTATTTGAAATAGATTTCAATCAAAATTATTTTGTTTTCTCTAAAAAAAAACACAATAAAGATTTAGGGAATAATTAAATAATTCTGATCAAAATCTATTTCGCACAATTTCGTAATACAGATAAAATCTTTTAAGACTCAAGAATACTTTTAGAATAGAAATAGGATGAAACAGGAAATCATTTCATGAGATAAGAAAAAAAAAAAAATTATTTTCGGACTCTCTTTGCTATCTATGCAAAATTTATCTTCATTATAATTGTATAATTTATCTACAGAATTCGGCACATAAATAAAGAAAGCTGCACAAAATAATTATACAAATAAATAATTACTAGTTTCTATTTTTTAAATTTATATATAAAATAATATTATTTATTGTTAAGTAATACAAGTATAATATTTGCAGATTTTAAATATTATTGTTTGTTGCAAGATTTCTTTATAGCAATAGGTTCATTGATGCACGGCTACTTTATTTAATTTAGAGAGCCTACGCAACTCTCAACGACAACTCAACGGCACAAATCGCCGGCAGACAAGTGGCTTCTGCACATACTTCTTGCATCGTTTTTGCACCGCTACGTCGTAATCGTGATTGCAGTTAAAAAAAAACAGACCTGCAACGTCTGTATCAGGACATCATTTGGGACAAAATCGTAAAAGTATGAAGTGCCTATTGATGATCATCATTCTCGTGGCTATCACCTCGACCATTAAGGTACCGTTTGCTGTCCGTATTTAAGACGATTTTATTATATCTTCCCTAATCGTAACTGCATTTTTGGATACCGTTAATACGTAATTCAGCGTTTAGTATAGAAATTAATTATTTATTGCATTAAAGGAACGCTTCTTTCTTTTGTTATTTATATATTTTGTATCAATTTGCGACTGAATATTATAAGACATTTTAATATTAATTCTTTACAATATAATAAATTCTTATTAAAAAAAAAATTTAATTTATCATGAGATATTGTGTTGATCGGCAACAAACTTTTATTATAGATATTTTTTCGTAAATTTTGATCGAAAAAGCATAATTTTATAAATCTTACAATAAAGATTTTACATCCGTTATATTAACATAATAAAATTTGAATGTTATTTTACGATAAATTATTATTAACTTAGAGCTTGGAGATTACCTTTTTATATGCAGTAGTAATAAAAATAGATAAAATAGGAATAGGTCAAATAAACGTGCGTATGTGTTTGTCATACCTTTATATGTCATAAGGTTTCTTTGGTCTCTTCAATAGATGCATATGTGCATACATAAACACATGCATCTATTATGACCTATACACACGAAGTATTCTTCTGTAATTGTGTATGTTACTTTAAATGTAATCCACTACATAGATCCTCTTACGAATACGCATTAAATTAATGGGAGGGAGGGTTCTATTCTATATTATTTCTATTAGCTTCAAGCATTTACAATATATAAAGCACATTTCAAATAATGTCAATAGGATTTGCAACATACCTTCAAAATTTTTATAAGTACTTGGAAACCTAACAACATCGAGATGTAATCACAATTTCTTGCATTGTAATTAAATTTAAAATATTTATATATAAAACAAAATATATTATTAAAAAAGTAAAAGTTAATATCTTTTGTATTAAATAATGCTAAATAAAGATAGTGGTTTTATAATAGTAAATAAAAAAACCATTATATAAATTTTAAAAATGTTATAAATCCGAAAATGCAATATATATTAAAATGTTACAATAAAAATATTAGGCAATAGCGTAATGTAAGTAGCGGATTTATTGTTGATACATTACAATGTATAAAAAATAAACACGGCGACGACCTACAACTCGACTGTCTACATGCACTATTGCGCACAAATATAAAATTAAGAGAAAAATATATCTTTGCACACACGATACTATTACGTACAACTGTATATTACAATGTTATTGCTTACAGATCGATTGCCTCCAAGCATTTTTGCGCATTATTATTAATTAAAACACGAAGACACGTTTGTACACATGTATCATTGCCTACAAATCGATTGCTTACCAGCACTAATCTCTGCTTTAAAATACAAATACTGTTTTAAAACACAAATTCTCTACTTTAAAAATACAAATTATTTTCTTATATACATAATTAATGTTAATTTTATATTTATGCGCAAAAGTGCTTGTAAGCAATCAATCTGTAAGCAATCCCGGGTTCACAAGTTGATTGATGTTTAGAACCATTTAGTTTGTTATCTACTAGATCTTCAAAAGAAGATTGACATTTTATCATTGATAATCTTTTATCATTAATTTTCTTTGAAAGTCAATAGAAAATGTAATCGATATCAAATTAAATGTTCCGAAAATTGATATCGATTTGATTTCAACTTATAAACCAGGGGTGCTATATATGTGCAAACGTACTTTCTTAATTTTATATTTGTGGTCAAAAATGCTTGTAGGCAATCGATACAGATAATAATATTATGTGCGCAATGTAGTTTGTGCGCAATAGTGTCATGTATACACACTTTTTCTCTTAATTTTATATTTGTACGCAATAGTGCAGGCAATAATTTTTTTGCGCAAACAAACTGTTGGCAAATATGTAGGCAAACGGTACTGTAAGTAATCAATTTATAGGCAAACTTTTCCATCAATAACGCTGAGGAAACACTTGTGAACACTTGGAAAAACCATTTTCATATTTTACAAATGATGAATTAAGTGTATACACTGAAAAACATAATGTTGTTTCAACAGCACAATTTTAATTGAAAATAATCTTGTTGATTTAAGAACAATACTATTGAAAACAAATAAAATTTAAACAAGAACGTAAGTATTATTTTATTCAATAGCGTAGTGAGAAAAATGTTTTAGGAGGGGCTGTAGAAATCAGTTTTTTTAATGTTCTTTTTTACTAGTAACACATTTGGTAAGCATAAATAAAAAAAGTTTCGTGTAAAATAAAATAAATTCAATAGCAAAAAAGTTATGATAATTTATATATTATATGTCGTTGTGCAATGTTGCGTCGAACGTTTCGCTGACGCTGCATATAAATATATATCATAATTATCATAATTTTTTAATTATTACGTTTAAAGATTTAAAACTTTCCAGAAAACTTCTTCAAATATTCGACTACAATGTAGCAATAATGAAAAATTTTAATTCGAAAATTTGTAACACAACTTTAACGTTTAAAAAAAAATTTACTAAACTCGACAAAATATTATTAAAAATCCGCCATTTTGTTGTAAAGTGCTTCGAAAAGTTCGGAATAGCTCTATAAATCGCAAAATATGTCAAAGATTATAGTGTAAAATTTGAATAATAAATATTAATATCCGGCTGAAATTTCACAAGTTGAAATTGCTGCCGTTCTTCCAACGCCACTTTTTGCGATTGTATTAGCAGCAACATTTTTTTCCGTGTAATTTATTGAATTTTTATTTACGTGCCAAACACAAATGAAATTCAACAAATGTATTTTTAATACATAATAAACGATATTTTTACAATTAAATTAAAAATGAGAACTATTCCAACAGGATTCAATTTCCTCTCTCAAAACAAATTGATATTTACTGCTCAACAATTTTTTACATATTCTTATGAATTATTGAAATCATTCAGAATTTTGGAGGAAGGCTGCAACCCCACAACCTCTCTTTGGCTATGTCACTGGTTTGATTAATGGTGTTATTGAATTAACAAAATTATTTTTAATTAAAATAATACTGTTAATACAACATTACTTTTTTTTTTAGTATAGATATTTATTTTAAGTGTAAAATGAAAATGGTTTTCCAAAAACCATTTGAAATGAAACTATTTTTAATGTTAAACCCTGCAAACAAAAATTATAGATTAAACGAAGTAATTACTCATATAAAGAAATATTTTTAATTTTTACATAATCTAATTTAGATAAACAAAAATGTATATACTTTACAATAATAAGTTTTGCGTCATATCAACTTTCCAATATGAATTTCTAATATGAATGTGCGGGCGAGAATATGATGGTATATTGCTTTTATCAACGTTTTTTTTAGCAGCATTACTATACAGTAAACTGTACAATTGTTTTCATAACTATTTAAATAATGCTTTTTTGTATTTTATCGCTATGTGATTCCAATATATGTAATTCCAGTTAAATGTAATGTAATAGTACGTTTTCAAACCTAATTGTAAGTTTACATTTTTTTTATTTTTTAAATAATTTACGAAAAACACTAGCAAATTTTAATAAAATATTATTAAAATAATATAAACTAATAAAATAAAATAATAAAGATATGTCAAACATATTGAGATTTCGTATAGCTTCTTTTTTAGCTCTATAAATTCCAAATTATCTATTTATTGTACTTCGAAATATTATTAACAACAATATTTTTTATAACTTCTATGCATTTTTAAAGATCTTTGAAATAAAGATTTTGGTAAGAATATAATTTTCTTGCAAAGTCTGTCAGGAAAATTAGTACTATGTTGTAAGTTTCTTTGTCACTAAAATAAACTGGTTGTAATAAAAAAATTTTTTTAAGCTTTTCTTGTTTTTAATAAAATTATTTAAATTTTTAGAATGTTTAAGTAAGTATTAAAAGTAAATAAATATTTATGAATGTTATTTACACGTAATAATTTATAATTTTTTTAAAATTAATTATACTTACTATGTTTTTATTATGTTTATTACTTATTATGCTAATTATACTTAATAAAAAATTGTAATATTTTAGAGAACATCGTATAAAGTATAATATTATAAATTAAATTTATAAAGAGTATCTATAATTTTAAATGTTTAATTTTAATGAAGTAATATTTAATTGCAACTCATTTTGAATTTGACTTTATTATTATTTGCAATAAATAATTACTACGTAACATTTACATAAAAAGTGAATACTTCAAAAAATTTTCCATTTCAGGCAGAAACATTTAGAGTCACTGATCAAGTATATTTCGATATCATGATTGATAATCATCCAGTTGGTAGGATTATTATTGGTTTGTTCGGCGATATTGCTCCAAAAACGGTGAAAAACTTTATCACTTTTGCTACTACTGGTATAGCTGGAAAAAAATATGCAGGGACCAAATTTCATCGCGTGATAAAAAAGTTCATGATTCAAGGTTACGCTGCTATTTTTTTGATTAGTAATTATTTTTTATTAATTATTACAGACATTAAATTATGAATTCAATTTGTGGTTATGTGTGTATGTTACATAGGTGGTGACGTCGAAAATGGCGACGGTACTGGTTCCATTAGTATTTATGGAAAATATTTCGATGATGAAACTTTTGAAGTAAAACATACCGGACCATTGATCGTCAGCATGGCAAACGCTGGAAAGAACACCAACGGTTGTCAATTTTTCATTACTACCATACCAACTCCTTGGCTAGATGATCACCATACAGCATTTGGAAAGGTAATAAAAATATATAAAATTATGTAACAAATATATTTAATTTGTTATCTGTTTGTGTTTTACATATTTGAAAAATAATTTGTCAGATAATTATTTTTATTTTTAATTTATTATTATATTTAAATATCT